ACGGGGCGCGGCGGGGGAGCGGGCGGCCCCGGGCCGGCGGGCCGCGGGGGTGCGGGCGGGCCCGGGCTGCAGGCGGGAGGCCGGCAGGGGCGCGGCGGGCGGGGCCCGCGCCCCGTGCCCGCTGGGGGCCGCGGCGGCGACTCTCTCTTTGTCTGCGCTCGCTCCAAAATGGCTGCGGCCGGAGCGGACGGGAGCGCCGGGCGGGCGAGGGAGGGAGGCCGTGCTCCCGAGGCCCATCCGTGCCGCCGCCGCCATCGCGGTGCTGCGGCCGGGGCAGGGGGCAGGGGGGCCGGCGTCGGCGGCACGGTTGCGGGCGGGCCGGGCCTCGCCTAGACCCGGCCTCGCGGCGTCGGTGCGCGGCTCCCGGGCGAGGCGGTGCGCCCCGCGCGTCCCGGTTCCCCCCGCGCGTCCCGGTTCCCGCGCCCTGCGGCGGCCCGAGCGTCCCGGGAGCGGGTCGGGCGGCACGGCCCCCGCCTCCCGTGCCCATGAGTCAGCGCCTGCGGCGCGCTTAGTCCGGAGTCGGGAGCGGCCCGGGGCGCACGGGGTCTTCCGGTTTCCTCTCCTCCCTTTGACCGAGTGCGGGGCCTGGCGCTCTGTGCGCCCGCGCCTCCGCCGCGGAACGGGCTCAGGTACTGTCCTCTCCGGGGGGGTGGCCGCGAGTCTGCTCAGGACCCAGAGACGGTTTCCCGGGACGCGCGGAGGGGCTGCCCGGTCCCCTTCTCCGGGGACAGCCGCGGCCTCGGGGCAGCGGGAACCGACCCCGCAGCGGACGCGGGTCCCACACGCCGGGCCGGGACTCTGGACCCGAGCTCCGCGCCCGGAGCAGCAGGGCGCGAAGGGCGGGCGGCTGGGACCCGCGGCACCTGCGCCCCGTCCTCTCCTGCGTGGGCGGTGGGCTGGCTTTCAAACAATAGCAGAAACGTGGAATATGTGTCAGATCGGAATCTTTAAACGTTGACTACTAGGTAGAAAATTTTAAAGGAAACCACGTAAAAGCATTGGCAGGCTGCCTCCATCCCCCCGCCCGCCCCCAGTGTGACGACATCGGTGTCGGTGCACCCGTCGTCTACGCCCTCCGAGCGCTCACACGGGAGTGGGAGTAGAAAAGCAAGCTGTGGTGCGGGTCGGAAGCAGAAGGCAGATTCGGTTCCCGTGACCCGCAAGGGCGGCAGGGGGATCCCCACTGTCAGGTCGCCCCGGCTACATTCCTGACAGCTTCCCTAAAGGAAGCTGGCAGTGCCAAGTGAGGGTGTTCCGACTTGTCCACACAGCCCCAGCTTCCTGGTTTCCTGAGGGCCTGCCAGGACCCCTGCAACCCGGGGCGTCTCCCCCCCCTCCCCCCGCCCCAGCCTCCATTCAGTCTGCAGACTTGGGTGCATGCCACCACCGTTCATTGCTCTCTGCACCAGGCCTGCTCCCCACCTGACCACTGACGTCACCCCCAGTGTGCTGCAGGGCACCCACCAGTGCAAGAGGAAGTGTGGGAGGTTAAGTCTGCACCCCCACCCCAGAAAAGAAGGGAGCTGCAGAGGAGGATGAGGCCGCTCTGCATCGGGTGCTCCCCAGAACCCTGCCCACCTTGAGAGTCAACTGGACAAGGAAGTCGGGGGGCTCCTCCCTGCCTCCTAAAGGAAGGAGGGGACGGGCTCCCAACCTGTGTCCCTGCCTGGCTCACCCTGAGGACCGGGGGCATTTTCTTGGAATATCTGTACAGTTTGACTTGTGCCACAAGGAGCTAGACTTCTGCAGCTTGAAAGAGACCTCCCACCTCGCATAAACAAAAGGGGACAATGAAAATGAGTGCAAGTATAAAGACCATGTTTAAACATGGAACGACATTTGCCGGGAGAATGGCGGGACCCAAAACGACAGCCTTGCCACCTGCCATGCCACGAAGGTGCAGGACCACAGGTGGAAGGAAAGGCAGCTGCCCAGGCTGTCAGCCGTGGGGGCCGTTTCAGTCTCTTAAACGGTACGTTGTCTTTTCAATAAAACAGACAGAGCCTCAGACATGCTCTCTTAAATATAAAAGTAAGCATAAGCAAGACCACAATTTCAGTGTTGGTCTGGCTGTGTGAAAGACGCGCAGCGTTTGCCGTACCACCTATGCTTTTGTTGTCTGCCTGGAATACTACAGGATGAAACATTTTCAAAACAGACCTGCAGGTGGCTGGCAGCTGGTGGCCCAGGCCCGGCTGCCGGAGTCCTGTTTGACAGGTGACTTCCCCACCCGAGCCGACAGTGCTCCTCAGCACCGCAGACCCCACAGGACGTAGCCCTCATCAAGAACAGATCCACACCCCAGGGTCAAACTCATGAACACACAACTGATCCATACATGCAGGCGCGTCCCTCTCTTTGGGCCATCAACATTATCATAAACGGCGACTTCAGACACAACGAAATTTATTCTCTCAGCTCTAGAAGCCACGAGTCCAAAATCAAGGTATGCGTAGGGTCCTTCCTGCCTCTTCCACTCCTGGTGCCTCCAGACATCCTGGACTTGTGCCACATCCCTCCAGTCAGCCCCTCTGTGGTCAGTCACGTGGCTTTTCCACATGTCTCTGCACCTTTCATCTTTTGAGGACACGGCTCACTGGACTTCAGGCCACCCTAAATTCAAAATGGTTTCATCTTGGGGCACCTGGATGGCTCAGTGGGTTAAGCCTCTGCCTTCGGCTCGGGTCATGGTCTCAGGGTCCTGGGATCGAGCCCCGCATCGGGCTCTCTGCTCAGCGGGGGACCTGCTTCCCCCTCTCTCTCTGCCTGCTTGTGACCTGACCTCTGTCAAATAAATAAATAAAATCTTTTAAAAAAAAATAAAAAGGGTGGGGGGGCGCCTGGGCAGCTCAGGTCAGTTAAGCGGCCACCTTCAGCTCAGGTCATGATCCTGGCGTCCTGGAATCAAGCCCCACTTTGGGAGGGTCCCCACTCAGCAGGGAGTCTGCTTCTCACTCCTGCTCTTGTGCTTCTGCTCTCTTCCTCTCAAATAAATGAAATCTTAAAAAAAAGTTTCATCAACACACTTAACTACACATGCAAAGTCCGCATTTCCGAATAATGTCCCATGCTAAGGTTCTGGGTGGATGTGCATTTTGGGGGGACAGTTCAGCCCCAAATATGACATATGACCAGTCCACTTATGGAGGGAAGAATTTCTAGATAAATCAGAAGGCAATCATCAGCCTGAGCCGCCACTTAGCCCCAGAACAGTAGCCCAAGACCTGATGAACCTGGAGTGGAATTCACCAGTCCAGGCTGCCCCTCCCTGTTCTGCCTGGAAAAGAAAGTGCGTGGTGAAATCCACCCAGGGGCCGCCGGTAATAAGCAGACTGACACACTGAGCTCCCCACGCAGGACCAAGCCCCTGGGGCAGCGGAGGAGATGAAGCTTAGGAAGGTTGTCAGCAGCCCAAGGTCTCTCCTGGTGGGGACAAAAACCAGAGACTCGGACCCGAACGCTGACAGCCACGATGCTCTTTTCTGGCTGCCAAAGCTGCCCAAGCCCATCGTACACCAATTAGATGTCTGCTCCCAAGCTAGAGTCAGAGTCAGGCCTGCCTCCTCGGAGACTGACCCAGATCTGCTGGATGTGGGCTGTCTGTACACTCTGGAATGACTCATTTACAACAGCTTCTTGGCTGACTCCCACCAACAGCTAACTACAGCTCTCACGGGCGGCTTTAGTTTTGTTGTCCACCTGGAGTACCGGCTGTGACAGTTTAGCTCAGGGGAGCTTATTTCAAAGTGCGGGTGGGGACTCTGAGGTCAGCCTTCCTGTGACGTCTCCCTCGCCCCCTGAAAGTACAAGCGAGAAGCAGACTTACTCTCAGCCAGAGGAGCCTGGTGGCATCCTGAGTCCCCTTACCCGGAGAGGCGCGATGCTACCAAGCCCTGTTTTCTCAGCATCATGCCCATCACATGGTTTTTCAGGGGGAACTGCTTATTGCTCTGGTTAACTCCAAACATAATTTGGCCCTCACTCAGCTTATAAAGCCCAACCCTCAATCCTTGAAAATCTGCCTTCTCGAAAACCTTAGCTTCATTGCAGCTGCCCTGGGAGAGGCACCAAACCATAGGTTTTGTCACTGGACACGTTTATTTCGTTAGCATTAATTGTCTGGACAAGATCCATAAAGCTAAGATTTTAGGCACTGACCACTAAGTGCCAGGTAGGATGTTAAAAAAAAAACACTTTAAAAATGATACCATTTACAAGAGCCTCAAACAACCACACACCTTAATGTAAAACCAACAGAATAGCATAAGAGCGATGCACAGAAAACTCTAGAACACGACTGAGAGACGTTCCGGGGAGAGTAATTACATGGAGGAACACGCAAAGTTCAAGAATTAGAAACCGCACTCTTGTAAAACTGTCATTTCTTCCCAAAGTGATCTAGAGATTTGATACAAAACAGGTTTTAAAATCCCAACAGGGTTTTTTTCGCAGAAACCAAAAGCTGGGCTTTCATTTCGTGTGGGAGAGCGGCCTCCGAGTGAGCGCAGGCCGGCAGACGCCGGAGAAGGGAGCTGCCGGTTCCGCCATTCGAGCCTAAGGGCCACGGTCCGCACCACTCTTGGCCAGATTAAACACTGGAGTCGTCCTGGCCGGAGTTGCTGGGAGATAGATTAGGCAATGACAGTCTCTGGGAAGTATGGGGCATCCCAGAAGGGAAGGGGCAAGAGAAGGAGAGGCCCCAATTCTGTTATAAACTGGTCCAAATCTCCAGGTGACACTGACCGCATGCCCGGGTCAGACTCCAAGCAACTGGGCTAAGAATAAAGAACCAAGCTGAAGTCTGACATGAGATCAGAGCGGTCATCCGTGGGACGGTGCCCGAAGCCTGAGCCCCGCCAAGTCTTAGGCAGACACCAGCACGAACACAAAATAACAAAACCCACTCAGAAGACATGCACGTATGTGTCCAAACAAAGTCCACAGAAAATAACACTCGACCCACCCAGAAGACAATCCAAAATTGCTCGATATACAAAGAAAAGGAGAATGTTAGCCATTCTCAAACAAAAAAGGGTAATAGAGATTGATCCCTGACATGACCCAGGTGATGGAATTAACAATGATTTTTTTTTTAAGATTTTATTTATTTATTTGTGTGTGTGTGTGTGTGAGAGAGAGAGAGAGAGTGCACATGCAAGAGGCGGGAGGGCCCGAGGGAGAAGCAGACTACCCACCAAGCAGGGAGCCCAACTCAGGACCCAATCCCAGGACTCCAGGATCATGACCCAAGGCGAAAGCAGACGCCCAACCAACTTAGCCACCCCAGCACCCAGCAAACAAGGATATTATATTATATTATAGGATATTATATTATATTATAACTATAATCACTGATGTCAAGGAAAAGATGCTGTTCATGAGTGACAAGAATTTTTAAAACCACAACAGAGAACTACAAACTATATTTAAAAAATGGGAATTCTAGAACTGAAAATTACATCAATATAGAGTTAACTGAATGGTCCTAACAGAAGAGTGAATGACAGAGTAGTGACCAGTAGTGACCAGGGAACCTGAAGATATTTCAGTGGAATTTATTCAACTTGAAAAAGAAAGAGTGGGAGTAAGTCAAAGAGCTCAAGAATATGAGGAACAATTTCAAAGGTCCACATGTGTGTGACTGAGATCACAAAACAAGAGGTAAAAGGATAGGGCAGGAAAAAGTTCATGAAAAAAATAATTTCTAGAATTTTCTGTATTTGTTAAGACATGAATCTACATACTTGCAGAAGTTCCACCATCCCCATCTACGATAAACTCAAAGAAAACCAGGTATAGGCACACTGTGGTCAAACAGCTGGAAGCCAAATACAAAGTTAAAACCTTACAAGTAGCCTAGAAAGATGACACTCGTCATCCAGGAACAATACACTGATTTGAATGACTTCTCATCAGAAACTATGGAGGCCAGAAGAGAGTGGAACAACATCTTGAAAGAGCGGAAGGAAAGTCTGTCAACACATCTGTAGAATATCCAACCAGCTTCCAAGAATGAGAGCAAAGAAATGTATTTTACTATAAAAGAAGATTGAAAGAATTCCTACCAGCAGACCTGTATTACGGAAAATGTGGAATAAGAAACTCTTCAGGCTGAAGGAAAATGATACCAGGTAGAAACTCGATCATCAGTAAAGAATGAAGACGATCAGAGTTGACGCATACCTGAGTAAATGTTAGAGTGCTCTCCTCTGAGTTCCTCTTGAATCTATACGTCAGTATAAAGCAATGATTCTATCATTGAACCGTGGGGTTCTCATTGCATGCAGACGTGATACACAGAACTATAGTGGAGAATGGGCCTGTGACACTGACAGGCTCTACATTTAGTGTGCGTCCAGGTCCATATTAGTGCACAGAAGACTATGCACTGTGATCGCTAAAGCAATCACCAAAACAAACAAAAACACACAAAGGAGTATACCTAGAAATCCAACAAATAACTAAAACAGAATGGTAAAAAAATACTCAAATCATCCAAAAGATAGTAAAAGAGGACATTTGAAAAGGAACAAACATAAACAAATAGATTATAGACTTAAATCCCACTAAATCAATCATCATATTGTTAAGCATTAAGCACCTCAATTAAAAGGATATAAAACGAAGACTCTGCCATATGCTATTTTCCAGGGAGGCACTTTTAAAAATATATCATGTTAACAGTAAGCCTGCCAAGGCTGGGGGAGCTGTGTTGACACCAGATGAAACAGACTTCCACAGAGCGCTGTCAGGGAGAAAGGGGGGCTGCCCAGTGGACAATGGGTAGTTCATCAAAAAGACAAAAATCATAAATCAGGGGGCACCTGGGTGGCTCAGTGGGTTAAAGCCTCTGCCTTCGGCTTAGGTCATGATCCCGGGGCCCGGGGATCAAGCCCTGCATTGGGCTCTCTGCTCCAAGGGGAGCCAGCTTTCTCCTCTCTCTGCCTGTCTTTCTGCCTACTTGAGATCTCTGTCTGTCAAATAAATAAGTAAATAAATCTTTTTTTAAAACGTTGTAAATCAGTATGTACATCATAACAGCTTCAGAGTGCATGAAACAAAAACTGGCAGAATTAGAGTAACAGATAATTCAACAATGATGTTGGAGGTTAGACGTTGACTCTCAGCACTGCACAGAACCGATGAACGAAAAACTCAGTCAAGACACAAATGACGTGAACTGTCTTGACCTAGTCTTTGCCAAACACACCCAACACATTCTTTTCTATTGTACACAGTACGTTCAACAAGATAAACCAAACACTGGGCTGTCAAATTAAGTCGCAATAAATTTAAAAGGACTGAAATCATACAGAATATATGTTCTCCACTGGAATCAAATTAAAGCCAGTAACAACAACATAGCTGTGGAAACCCCAAACATTTGGAAATATCTCACTAACCCCTGAATCAAAAAAAAAAAAAAAAATCGCAAGGGAAATTTGAAAATATTTTGGACTGAATTTTACTGAAAATGCAGCATATCAAAATGCGTGGGCTGCAAACTCGTACAATGCGTTGTTTATAACGTTCCTGTCAGAAACTGACGCGTTAATCCTAAAATTCATACGGAAATGCAAAAGGTCAAACATGGCCAAGGTAATCCCGAAGGAAAGCAGAGCTGGAGGGTTTGTGCTGGCGCCTGTCCGACCACTGCGGTAACTGAGACAGTGGGTGCGGGGATGATGGGTAAGCAGACCAACCAAAGGGAGCAGCATTCCAGGAAAAAATCCCACGCACACGTCAGCCTACTTACAACAAAGTGGGCAATGACATGGCGAGGAAAAGATTCTTTTTTTTTTTTTGCAATTTTTTTGCAAAAAAAATGCAAAAAATTTTTTTGCAATTGGCACTTGGTCAATTCGTTGCCCAGAAGGATAAAAAATGAATTTTTACCCAAACCTCACACCATACGGAAAAAACAATTCCAGCTGAACTGAAGATCTAAATGTAAAAGGTAAAATACTAAGCTTTTGGAAAGAAACATGCTTATTATCATCTTGGAGTAAGGTTGTTTAGTTTTTTTTTTTTAGTAAGTGCCAAAAGCCCTAAACTCTATAACGTAAAAAACTGATAAATTGAACCACATTACGAACTTCTTATCAAAAGACACCACTGGGAGAATGGAAAGTAGCCGACCAAATGGGAAAAGATATGAACAATAAGGGGAGATGGACAGAAGACTGGAGAGGCGCCTCACCCCTGATAGACACAGAGGAAGACTGGGGTGGGAGAGGTGCTCGGCCTCCTGGGTCACCAGGGAAATGCAGATTAAGCCCTCTGCAGACCTCCCCCGCCAAGAAAGACCAAACTCAAAAGGGCTGACACTACCTAGTTGGCGAGGAGGAGGGGCATCTGCTGACACGAAGCTACTGGGCAGTTTCTACAGAGCGGCACGCTGGCCCAGCCCGGCCGGGCCCAGCAGTTCTCCCCGACACCTGCCCTACAGGACGGGTCCTGTGTGCACCAGGGGCAGTTGTTTCCAGTCCCCCGGGTTGGAAACAACCCAATGTTCCAACAACAGCAGTAAATTGGGTAAAGAAATGGCGGTGTCTTCACACAACGGCATTCAATGGGTGTGTTTGGTTTGAGAGAATGTGTTGATGTGTGTAGTTTTTTTGTAAATGTCACACTTGAGTGAAAGTCAATGAGGGAGTTCGTCAGAGTCATCTGTGCGTATCAGCTTTCTGAGCTGGCAAGCCTGAAACAAACCCCTCACCCCATAAGAGGACACCTGAGCCCGGAGATGGCAAGTGACTTGGCTAAGACCACCAGGAGATGGGAGAGCATGGACCAAAACCCAGGTTTCCTGAGTTCCCAGCCCAGACTCTCCCCAGTACAAGCTGCTCTCATCAACATCCTCTTTTTTTTTTTTTTAATTTCCTCTGGTTTTGGTTAAAAAAAAAACAAAAATAAAATGTACCATCCTAACCATTTTTAAGTGTACGGTTCAGTACTGTTAAGAATTATTTGCATTGTTGTGCAACAGATCTCCAGAACTTTCCCACCTTTTCAAACTGAAACCCCACAGCATTAGACAGCTCCCCATTTCTCTGCCCCCGGTCCCCGGTAGCCACTGCTTTTCGCTCCATCCTGCTGATCTTGAGTCCTCTAAGGGCTCTCACGGAAGTGGAATCCGGCAGTATATGTCCTTTTATGACTGGCTTATGTCACTGGGCATAATGTCCTCCGGGTTCGCCCATTGTAGCAGGGGTCAGAATGTCCTTCCTTTTTAAGGCTGAGCACACTCCAGTGTCTGGACAGACCACACTCTATGTGTCCTCTCGTCCGCCAGTGGATGCCTGGGGACTTGCACCTCCTGGTTGCGAGGAGTAATGCTGCTGTGGATGTGGGCAAGTGTCTCTTTGAGACCCTATTCTCAGGTGTCTTGGGTATAAACCCAGAAGTGGTCTTATCCGCTCTCTTAGGGTATTTTCTACTCGTGGGTTTTACCACTTCAACTGCACTGTGAGGTCCTGGAAGTCAGGGAGCAATAGTCTGTCGCCAGGGTCCTTGGTGTATAAACCAAGAAGACGCCTGGGGCTGGAGACAGGACCCTGGTTGAAAGTGTCTGGTGCAGGTGGACCCTGGGTTGAGACCCCCGTCCCACACAGCCAGGCAACGCCAACCCCACCCTGGGGAACTAAAGCCAAAGGCACCCAGGCTCAGGGACAGGCGCCAAGCCAGGCGGGAGGCGGGGGTGGAAAGCGACGGAGCGAGCGTCCTTGTATGGACAGCGTTACAGCAGGTTCCTGGGGCTCACAGGTGCTGGTCCAGCGCCACGCCTCGGGCTGGATCCTCAGGTGGGGCCTCACTTCCTCGATGTTCCTCAAAAGACAGGCTGGGGTACATCCATTCCTGCACACGCATGACACATTTGGCATTTAAGAAGTAAACAAAACACACACGCAGACCCACCTGGTGCGCGGACCTGCACAGGTGAGCTCTCAGGGGCGCCCCGTCTCTCGGGGACTTCTGTCCACGGGATTGGGAGGGACCCAGCTGCCTCCATCCTCCAAAGCTCATGGCGCTGGTCTCCCAGCCCTGAGGCTGACACTCGCTGCTCTAACACAAAGATGTCCCCGCTTGCCGTCTTTGCCCTCAGGGTTTCTAGCGTTGGGGAATGTCTGGAATGAGCCATTTGCTCTTCTCTTGGGAAGCCAGAGTGAGCAGCATGTGTCCGGAGCAGGATGTTGGCATCACGGGCAAGCTGGCAAGTCTCTTCCTCAGGGGGCGAAGCCTGTCTTCTCACGCGTTAAAGCTTTCTCCAGGTTCACACCACGACATTCCCACTCTAGGCAAGCGGGCTCTACGACGCAGAAACAGCAAAATTAACATCCTGCCCCGGGAGCCCTACGTGTGTTTCTTCTTTTTAAGATTTTATGTATTATTTGACACAGAGAGACACAGTGAGATTGGGGACACAAGCAGGGGGAGTGGGAGAGGGAGAAGCAGGCTTCCCGCTGAGCAGAGAGCCCAATGTGGGGCTCGATCCCAGGACCCTGAGATCCTGACCTGAGCCCACGCAGAGACTTAACGACGGAGCCCCCCAGGCGCCCCCCACGTGCAGTGTTTAGAGCTCTTACAGCAGACCAACAGCCCAGCTCTGCAGTGGACAGAGGTTAAGTGTTCTCGTTACGAACCCAGCGCCCCCCTGACCCTCCGGAGTGACACTGATCTGTGTGAGAAAGAATCAAAGCACATTCTTGAGACAGAAAACAGAGGACCTGGAGATGCTCGCCTCAAGCTCCGAACCCAGGGGTCGCCAGGACCGTAGGTGACTACGCGGCGTGGGCCTTCCCCTGCCCCAGGCCTCAGTGCTGCCCACTGCCTGGGGCCCAGGTGCTCCGGGAGAAGACTGGAGACAAGGAGGCCAAGAAAGGCAACAGGCGTCCCTTAGGCTCAGCACTGATGGCAGTTTCCTTTCTCTTCATGCTTTTTCTGCCAATTTCCAATTTTTCTTCAATGAACGCATTATTCTTTGATAATCAAAAAAAGGAAACCTTGCGTGGTTTTCCATCTTTTAATTTCCCCTTGAAGTAAAACGCACACGTCGAAGAGGGCACAGCTCAGTGAGTTTTCTCAAGCCGAACACACCCATGCCACCAGCACAGGTGCAGAAGCAGAACAGGCCCTGTAGCCTTGGGGCCCCCTTGAGTCCCTCTGGTCACTCCCCCGAGGGTGAACACACCTGACTTCCAATACCGTGGACTCCTGTTGCCGAGCTTGTGGAACCACACAGAATTCTCCTCCTCTCCCGTTTTCTTCCCCAGTGCATTGAGTGTATCTGCACTGTTGTGCCGCCGTCCCTCTGTCTAGTTCCAGAACGTTCCATCACTCCACTAGGAGACTATGGAACCAGAGTGAGTCCTTACCCCTCTGTCTCTGGCAACCATGAGGCCATTTTCTGTGTCTGCGGACTTTCCCGAAACAGGCTCATACGCTCTGGGACCTCGTGTCTGGCGTCTCTCACGCCGCCTCAGGTTCCCGAGGCTCCTCCACGCAGCAGCGAGTGCCCCTGCGTCACCCCTTCCTGAGCCAGAGTGACAGTGGCTGGGTGCACAGGCCGCCATCGGGGCGCCCTTCATCTGCGACGGGCGTCGTGGTGTTTCGCCTTCGGGAGCAGTGCTGCCCGGCACGTTCGCGGTCTGGTGTGGACACATGCGTCCTCTCCCTTGGGCATCCCCCTCGGAGAAGAACTTGGGGGTCGGATGGCGACGCTGGGTCCAGCTTACAGAGGCCCAGACTTGTCTCTGCATCGGGACCCCTCCCTGGGCGGTGGGCGAGGCCGGGGGGACCCCTGGCCAGCTGCTGAGGATTCTGTGGGCCCAATGTGCGCCACCTGCGTATCCGCTCTTAGGTGCTGGGGCCGAGAAGGAAGCATCAGAACCTTCCGCGCTGGACCATGCTGACGGGAAGCACGTTTCTATCGGGAATACCGCAACTGTGCACGTGCACACCCCTCCCTGGCTCTCCCTTTCAGGAGCCGGTCCCCCTCCTCTACTCGCCCTCCCTCCCCCCAAGCTGGCCAGTCCACCCCTGGGGGCCGGAGGCAGGGACCACCAGGGGCTTCCCAGGCCGATATGGGGGGGAAGAGAGAAATGGGTCTGGAGACAGATTTCCGGGCAGCGGTTCCACACACAGGCATCTCCTTCCACAACGTGGGGAGGGGACTACAGTCATTGATTCCTTGACACATGCCTCCTAGACGCCACTGTGGGCCAGGCCTGTGCTAGGTCTGGGGACATGTGCTAACAGGGGAAGGTGACAGGAAATACGGAAGGCCATGAGTCAGGAAGCCAGTACCAGAGTGGCACAAGGACAGTCAGCAGGGTGATATAGACATGCTGCCTAGGAAAGGGAGCCAGGAGGGCTTCCTAGAGGCAGTATCATAGGAGCAGGCCTAGTTAGGCAAGGCAAAGTGAGTGCCCCACAGGATGGCTCAGAACTGGGTGTCACCTATGCTGGGCCAGTTGCCTCGTTGTCCCACTGGCTAGTGGTGCAGACACAAGGCCAGGCTGGTAATGTTCACACAGAATGGCTTTGGTCCTTCCTCTGTCCCCTCCTGCCACATGGCCTCAGGCCGGCCCTGGGGTTTGGGTTTCTCAGCTCTGTGTCCTTTAACGAGGTATTGCAAGGACCAGGGCCTGGGGAAGGAGGGCTGGCCCAACCTGGTCCACAGAGCAGGAGGGACACGCAAACAGAGAAGAGGAGCCTTTGCGGGACGACTATGCAAAGGTCATCAGCAGACACCCAAGGACAAGATGCCTCAGGTCACACGCCCCCTCGGTGTGTGGAGCTGGGGGTCCCCCAAGCCGGCAGGGAGAGTAGCAGAGCCCTCAGTCCTCTGTCGGGAGGGTGAGAACATCCCATCCGCAAGGACACTGCTAGGCGTGTGCCAGACCGCAGCTGGTGGTGTGGTCCGGTTCCCACCTGTGCCACCCCGGTGTTCAGCCCATGAGTCCTGCCATCCCCCGGAGGTGAAGCCCGAGCAACACACCGGCCAGCCCGTGGGTGTGCGGCTTCCCTCCCGGCCCTGCTCCCAGCCCCCAGCAAGGGTCTCGCTTGCGGAAGGCCCTCCGTGGACATCTGTGGCCTGGGCGCCTCAGGGACTGTGGGATTACTCCGTCGAGCAGTCCCTGAACGACTTGATGACTTGGTGGTCTGAGCAGTGCCATTGGCTGTGACAGCCTCGTGCAGGCCATCCTCACCACCTGCTGTGTCTGGACAGTACAGCCTGCCCGCCCCTGGGTACCCTGTCCCCGCCGCTCTCCCTCAGACTCTCACACACCTGTCTTGGCTCTCCTGCACAGGGGGCAGGGCGAGGGTGGAGGCCATCCTCCCAATTCTTTCTGAATGGACTTAGAATCTGTAGCAAAGTGGGCCTTGAGGAGGCACAGCCCACCCCGTGGCTGCTTCCCTCCCCCACAGGACCCCTGTCTCCGGCCCACCTCTGGCAACTTCCTAATGTTGACTCACTGAGCTTGCACACAAATGTGGGGGGTCTGCCCCTTCCCAGGGCCTTCTACCCCCCCATTTCCTCCGCTGGCCTCCCAGTGGTGCATGTCCCTGTGCTCCAAGGCCTGGGAGCCCCATCCCCCAGCTCTCCTGGTGGCGGTGACGTTTCCACATGCTTGTCTTCCGGGTCTCCCTGCCCCTCTCTCAGGAGCGTCCCTCCCTGGGCTGGCTGCCTGCTCTTCACGCGTCCCCCAAAGCTTCCTGAGAAAGGTGCTCGGACCCTTGACACCTGTAGGTGGCTTTAGGCAGCCCTCTAGTGAGATTCACCGCATAGAGCTTCCCCAGAACGTGCAAGGCCGTGCTGCTGTCACATGTGTCCTTGTGGGGCGGCCACCAGACCTCTTCACATGGGACCCGGGCTGCTCTCAGAGCCACCGGGCCTCCTGGATTCGAGGCCCCTCTGGCCTTCCCTGATCTGACTGTCAAGGCCACCCCACCACCTGTCTGCCAGCTGAGGCAGAGGAGACGGCGCGGTGTCCCACTGCTCTCCTTCCCTGGGTCCTGGGAGGGGGTGGCGGAGCACATGCTCGCTCAGTCGGGATGGGTTGGAAATCACCCCCTTACTTTTGGGTTTGAAAGGCATTTTTGGAAGGAGTTTTTTCTTTTAAGATTTTACTTATTTATTTGAAAGGGGGAGAGAGTGCATGAGCCGGGGGAGGGGCAGAGGCAGAGGGAGAGGCAGACTTGCCGCTGAGCAGGGAGCCCCATGCGGGCCTTGATCCCAGGATCCTGGGATTATGACCTGAGCCAAAGGCAGATGCTTTACCAACTGGGCCACCAAGGTGTCCCTGGAAGGAGATCTTATAATTGCAGGAGTTGCTGACAAATAAAGTCAGATTTCTAGCTTCCCTTAAAAACGGTGGGTCTTGGGACGCCTGGGTGGCTCAGTTGGTTAAGCGGCTGCCTTCGGCTCAGGTCATGATCCCAGCGTCCTGGGATGGAGTCCCATATCGGGCTCCTTGCTCAGCGGGGAGCCTGCTTCTCCCTCTGCCTCTGCCTGCCTCTCTGCCTGCCTGTGCTCATGCTCTCTCTCTCTCTAACAAATAAATAAATAAAATCTTTAAAAAACAAAACAACAAAAAAAAAAAAACGGTGGGTCTGACAGCTCCGGACCCAGCACTGCCTAGGGCATTTAAAGCAATGTGTTCTTGATAAGCCACTTAATTTTCCTGAGTTTCTATATATTTATCTGTAAAATAAAAACTTAACTTTGAATTTCTGAAGAACAGCCCAGGGCAACAGCTGTCCCTCATACCCAGGAAACATGCTGTCCGCACCCTGCTGTCCCCACCCCCTGCCCACATGGACACAGCTCTCCCCACCAGTGAGTCTGCAAGCCCCAGGCCTGGAGA